GGATTTAATTCTACCCTTATTATTTTGTACACCCTGTTAGTCACATGGCTGTTTTATTTTTAAAAATATAAAACACATGCCTGAAATTTTGCAGTGATTATGAAACACTCAAAGTGAAAGAAAGAGGGAATTTGTTGTATGATCAACACAAAGTCTCAAACTACCACATGCAAGCAAAAGATTTTAACAACTTCATTGCACAAAATATAAGCAACGCCAAGCTTTGATTTAATAGTCCATAAGAATTGATTGATTTGGAACTATTTGGGTTTAGTCAGAGAGGAATGATGGCAAATATTATTTTGGATGAAGCGTAATATGTACTCAACAACAAGAAGGAATGTGTGGTATACCTAACGAGTCACAATAGAGAAGCTAATCATTTAGATGCTATTCTAAGTTCATGATACAAGAAGGAAAACTTTGCAAATATTCAAAGGAAAAAAGATGTATTACAGTTCAAAGGTTGAGTTAGGTCTAACTACTCTTTATGGTTTTGACATAACTTTAATATATTTAAGAATAATTTGTTAATGTCCACTAAACAACCACTACTCTTAGCTAGATCCTGACTTGGTACCAAACTCTTTTTTTCCCCATCCTTTATTTTTTTTGTCTTTTTTTTCGTTGTTGTGTTATTGGTTGATGTTATAGTGTGTAGACTGAAAATGAGAAAGAGCCTGTGATGCTCACCTCTCAACGACCTTGGATAAGTATTTCTGAGCAACCATAGGAAGCTCTTAAAATTTTAATAAAAACTAGAGATAAAGAAGAGATCACAATTTATGATGCACGGGTGGAGATGCACGTATCCAATAATCCAAATTAAGAGAGTGTTTTGTTTCACTATTTTGTGGAGAAATGAGAGTGCAGATGTATATTCTTGGCACAAGTCACGTTGGCGCGGACTGATCAGCATTTCAAATACAGAGAAATAACAACATGTGTCCATGTCAAATGGTTTTATGTCATACTATTTCTCATTCTCATATCTCCAATGACAAGGAGAGCATGATGTTCGATATGGATCATAAAATTTCATGATTCGTCATATATAGTTCTCAAGGGATTAAAGTAGAAAATTTCGATATCGGTAACTCATTTAACTTGTGTCCTCTCAATCACATGTATACACATATTTGAATGTACTACTAAAGGCCTTCATTGTCACGCCCCGGGCCCGCGGGCCCATTGGCGCGTGCAAGCCGTGGGACCCATCAAGTATAACGTGCTATTTGGTTCAAATCACTACCAAAATCGACTAGCCGATGATACACTTGAGTATTTAGCTTCACTATATAAACATTTAAATATCTTATTCCTTCATGGATGTGGGACTATAACTTTGGGTCGGTGGGATGTCACATTCATATACACAAAATAAAAGTGTTATGCTCGTGCTTGCAAAGGTGTTTCTGATTTCTTAGGTTTCTTTTCTAGTTATGCTTGTACTTCTAAATTAAATTGCAGTGAATTCTTTTCTTTTTCATTTGTGTTTTAAGAAGAAAGTCATATGGGTGATTTATTATGGCTTCAAGATATAGGTACGACTTCCATATTGGAATAGGGAGGAACTAAAAATCACCTTGTTCCTTGACATGGCTCTACTTATAGTTGTTCTATCTTTTTTGTGTTTGCTATATATATACTTCACTTTTCTCATAAATATGTGCGTACAAATGATTTACACAATGATCTGTGATAGACAAAGGAACATGACATTACTCTTTAAGTTCTGTTTTGATGTTCTAAACAAAACACGTGAAATGGATAGTAGATTTCTTGACTTTGAAAATCAGAATTAAATAACCTGGAATTTGGATCCTCTCCACTACAAACAGGTAGTGGAGAGACCACTACTTTTTATTCCAACTGTTGATTATTTAGTAAGTGTTTGTGATATGATCTAAACCTAACATTCATCATACACCTATGTATTGCACTTTTTTTTTTGAGAGAAAAACAAGGGTTGATCCTTGTTCATTAAAATCAAAAGTATGTTTACAAAAGAAGGATACGAACTATATCCATAAAGATTAGTGGATAGAAAAAATAATTTCTCTTGCTAGGGATGTAGGACTTTATTCTTACAAACATCCATGAAGATGAAGAGAGGGCCTTGCCGTCATTCACCGTTGACATGGATATAAGTGAGAACCAAAGCCAGCCATACATTTGGACAGGAGAAATTAAATTTTCTATAGACTAATTTAAACTAACACTTGAACATCATAATGTTGATATGTACAAAAGACATTATAAAAGGCTAAGAGAAAACTGATATGACAAACTAAATACTGTTGCTCCGCAAGATTGGTCTTTCTTCTAAAACCGCTGCTAGCTTGAGTGCCTTCTTCCCTCTTCCAGAATCTGACTAGTCATGTAAATTAAAAATTGCTGAATTGATGATAGAAGTAGTAGAAAATAAAGAATTTTCAAAAATAGATTTATTTCTTGATGTCCATAAGCTCCAACACACTGCAGAGAAAATTGATCGCCATAAAACCCCATCAGAGTGACGAAGAGATTCAACAACCTTGAGGAGTTCATATAAAGATGTTGGCCATATGAAAGGGAGGTAAGAATCACAGAAATGTTTCCATACTGATTTGGTAAGACTGCATTCAAAAAACAAATAATCACAAGATTCAAAATGTATACCACATAGAATGCATGTAGAATCCCCTTGCCATCCTTTCTTTATAAGATTTTCTTTTGTATGCAACCTATTTTTGGATAAAAGCCATATGAAGAACTGGAATTTACTTGGCATGACTGGATTCCAAACAGTTTTATAATAAGCAGATAATATTCCTCTGGTGTTAAGGAAAGAATAATGGGATTTAATTGAGAAACTCCCATTGGATGTAAGAGACCAGGTGGGTATGTCAACATTGTTAGTAACAATGTGTAAGCCAATATGATTCATAAGATCAATCTTTGCATATGTTGAAGAATCAGAGATGCTTCTCTTAAGAAGAGGATGCCAGCGCCATATATGATTATGGAAAAAACCCTGAGAACGAATACTGACATTTGTAGACAGTGATAATTTATACAAAGTCGGATATATACTTGATAATGTGTTACTACCAGTCCATTTATCCTCCCAAAATCTAATTTTATCACCAGATCCAAGAGACCATTGCAGAAGATGAAGAAATAAATCTTTGATTGATATGATATCATTCCAAAACATAGAATATGAAGAACTGCAGGAAGTTGATTGCAACTGAGAATCTTTCCTGATATAAAGATGATGTAAGAAAGTTCCAATTAAGGAGTCTCTATCAAGACATTTCCATAACCATTTGGATAAGAGAGCATTATTAAAAAGTTTGAGGTCCTTCACACCCAATCCTCCCTCATATTTACTTAGACATACTGTCTTCCAATTTACTAAACACTTGAAAGGTTTAGAGATATTTTTGCCAGTCCATAGAAAATTCTTTCTAATTTTATCCACCTCTTTAATCACCCATGATGGTAATTTGTAGAAAGACATATAATATAATGGAATAGATGAAAGAACAGAGTTGAGCAAAACAAGTCTACCACCAAAGGATAAACATGAACTTTTCCAAGAAGCAAGTTTCCTATACATATTATCCAACATAGGTTGCCAATCAGATTTAGCTAATTTACCATACTTTAGAGGCAAACCTAAATATTTAATAGGAAGATAATCAAGCTTGCAATTCATTGAACTAGCTAGAACTTGTCCTCTATTATGTAATTTACCGAAGTAAATAAGAGAAGATTTGGAGAAATTAATACCCAACCATGAAATATCTTCAAAAATATATAAGATTGCCTTTAGGATGGATATGTCATTCTTGGTACTTCTGACAAAAAGAAGAGTATCGTCTGCAAATTGGAGGCTCCTAATTTGATTGAGAGGTTCCTTAATGCCAAGATTGGATAATAAACCCTCTTCCACATTATGTCTGATCATTTTGCACAAGACATCAGCAACAATATTAAAAAGCAAAGGAGATAAATGGTCTCCTTGTTTCAAGCCTCTTTTGCATTTGAAAGATTTAGAAGGGGATCCATTGATAAGAACAGCACAGCTTGATGTGGATATAATATTGTAGATCCATGAGCACCATCTTTGACCAAAACCTTGAACTTTCAGTAAATTAATAAGGAAGTTCCAGTTAATAGAATCAAAAGCTTTTGTAAAATCAATCTTAACCATGGCCACATCCTTCTTCCTCTTTGAACAAAAATGAATCAATTCATTTGCAACAGTTATTGAGTCAAGAGTTGATTTACCAGTTTGGAAAGCTGATTGTGTAGGAGCAACCAAGTCATTCATAAAAGGAGCTAATCTGTTAGTTGGAAAGCTGATTGTGTAGGAGCAACCAAGTCATTCATAAAAGGAGCTAATCTGTTAGATAAGATTTTTTTGAAGATTTTGAAGATGCAGTTAATAAGGCTAATTGGCCGAAAGTCTTTAACTAAGGGGTTTCCTTTAATTTTGGGGATAAGAGTGATTAGAACTCTATTCACCCTATGTAGAGATGAAGGATATTTAGAAAACCAATTCATGAGTTCAACAACATCATGATGCAAAAGGTCCCAGAAAGATTGGTAGAAGAGCAAAGAGAAACCATCAGGACCTGGGGATTTATTGGGGTTCATACTGAAAACTGAAGATTGGTAGAAGAGCAAAGAGAAACCATCAGGACCTGGGGATTTATTGGGGTTCATACTGAAAACTGCTTGCTTAACCTCTTCATCTGAAAAATCTGCATCTAGATCTAAGAGATTCTGATTTTTGGAAGGATACAAGAAATTCCAGTTGACTGTCATGTTACTATTGTTTTCTTGTCCAAAAAGATTGTGATAAAAGTCATAAAAAGCTTTAGAGATTTCCCCTTGGTCAGCAATTTCAGAACCCATGTGATTAATAGCAACAATGTGATTTGATCTCTTATGAATGGATGTTGTTCTATGGAAAAAGGATGTATTAGCATCACCTTCTTTCAACCATTGAATACGATTGTTCTATGGAAAAAGGATGTATTAGCATCACCTTCTTTCAACCATTGAATACGAGATCTTTGATGCCAATAAGATTCTTCTTCTTGGATGATAGATTTCAACCATTGAATACGAGATCTTTGATGCCAATAAGATTCTTCTTCTTGGATGATAGAAGCAAAAGAAACATGATAATCACTCATTAGATAATCGATGGTTATGATTATGTAATGGTTCCTCCACTACATTTTTGATAGTGGAGAGAATCCGATTCCAATAATCTGAGTCTGAGCTTTTTTCTTATAAAGGAAATTCAAGGTAACTGTGTGGATATCTTTCATCTTAAATTTTAAAATTCAAAATTCGATGGCTAAACCACCAATCCATCATCGATAATATCTATTTTTTATTATATTCTAAAATAAAAAAAGAAGTCGGATCACTAGATAATGGGTGGATAATTTATTTCAAATTCAAAATTAAAGAGGGGCATGTGACAAATTTTGAGATGCAAGGTTTATAGTAAAACACCAATCTGAATGGCTTTTATTTCATATTTTCAACTCAAAATTAAGAATGGACACGTGACAACTTTTTGAGATGTAACCATCAATCTCTCCACATATAAAGGAGGGATATGGTTAACATTTCACATAAGAAACCAACCTTCTAAAAAATTTAGGCAAATATTGAAATTGAAGTGTAACAAATTTGTAAAAAAAAAGAAAAAGAAAAAAAGATGTACAATGATTTGTCTTCAATCATGCTAGATTGGCACATATTCCCTTTTTCCTTCCCATATATTGAGACACCTAGCATATATGACGCTAGATCCACTTCCAATACTTTTCTACAATTAAATCTACGACTCCCTTTCCATGTCTTTATAAAAGAATCCCAGTTCACCTTTAATTAATTCGGGATACATCTCATGCCAACAATCCTCCCCAAACTACTATTTTGCCTGCTCCAACCACCTCCCATTGTTTATAATTTATCCAAATCGTTGTAGTTGAATCGTATACTTAATGTTCATGTTAATTATGCATAATTAAGTCTGGAACATAGCAGTGATTATGTCATGAACGGGGAACAGGTGACCAGCTATTTGAGGTTAGTTTGTCCTTGTGGTTTTGGCAATAATTGTAGTTTAGTTAGCCCTAATTAATCCCTCTAGGTTTCTTAACAAGGGGGAAGAGCCCAACGTGTCACATGGGAATGTTAGCGTAGTATATGTATATGTACTCTATGCTTTATTAAAGGGCTTTAAAATCTTGCAATAATTGGGGCAAACTCGAGATTGACACTTTTGCACATCTGAGTACTGCTTTTTGTATCACATCTTAGATGGAAGATAGTTTGTGCTGTTCTAAATTTGGCAAGATGTCTAATGACATACTCCATCTTCATAGCTTATATATGAACAATTTTTCAAAGCCGGCTGATTTTTTTTTTTCAAAATCGACTGTTTTTTTTTATTTATCAAAATCGACCCGGTTTTGTGATTAGCAGGCTAATCACTATCCTAAATAGTCGGGGTTGGCAACCCCGACTATTTAGGATAGTGATTAACCTGCTAATCACCCTTTAATTAGGGTTTAATACCCTCCTAAATAGTCGGGGTTGGCAAACCACCTTCCACTAACTCCAATATAGATGTAGGTGTTTTCGCTGAAAGTTGCCTTCATTGCTGAATTCATTATAATATTAATTGTTTACAAAAGAATTCAAGTTTTCAACAAAAGAAAATAAAAGGTTACAACTTTCTCGAAAATAACATAAGATCCGCTCGTCGTTTCCTGTTTGCGTGGGTCTTTAGCCGGTGATGGGGACGTCGATATCCGTGGACTACCTGACAATCAGATCAGATCCAGAACTCTGTCGATTCGCGAAGGAATCTAGAAGCAGAAGCGCTTATCTCGACAACGGCGAGATAATTGCTCTTCTTAAGATTATCGCAACGGGATAATCCTAAGGAACGGACACGGGTGATGTAGATCTGAAGAATCTCACTCTCTTGCGTTGACGAACTCGATCAATCTTCAGTCCGGCAGGGCTTCGCCAATTCTCCAAAATTCCAGATCCGGAAAAAATGAGGGCTTGGGGCTGTATTTATAGGCTCCAAGGGAGTTCGGGTGGTTGAAACTGCACAACGGCCGTTTTTTAGGCCTGGAGACACCCTTGGGTGTCTCAGCCAGGCCGAGACACCCTTGGGTGTCTCGGCTTTGGGCGAGACACCTTGGGGTGTCTCGCTTGTGCCGAGATACCTCGGGGTGTCTCAACTCAGGCTGATACGCCTTTGTCCGCACATTCATCCGTTTCCGCCGTAATTTCTTCGTCCGAAATCTGATTTGAGTGATTCAAAGTGCGTTGGAAATCTGACGAGGAGTTCTATAAGTTCTGATGATTAGATCATTGTGGATTAAGATGGGGATAGGAGCATCGTTTCGTCTTTTGTAAGCGACGCGGGACTCCCGATCAGTTCGTGTCTTCGTTATTCTGAAATTCCGTTACTTCACGTAGTTCGTCGATTCACTTCAAGCGTTCATCGACGTCAATCAAGATTTTGTGACTTGGATAGTGACGTTGCTCACCTCCTCTTAGCTTTGAGCTGCTCACGGAGACCTATAGGCAATTTTCGATGCCTACAGATACCCCCTCCAAAGTGTTCCAGACTCGTTTCTTTTATAGAAGAGGCTGGAATACTTTAGATGTGATTGGTCCAACCTTCGATCGGTGTAAAGGACCTTTAATTAGCTTTAACTCTTGGCTCCTTCGATTTTCAGTCTATTCGATGCTTTGACGAATAGCTGAAGTCCTTCCGGCACTGCGTTTATCGCCTGGCCGTCGTCGGAGTCTCGAGTCTACAACCGATGAGTTGGGTTTGGCTCGTGTCATTGAATTGACTTAGAACTAACTATTTCTATCGCATTGGCTCTTTCATTACAACGCATTGATTGGCATTGACCTAGGGTTATGCGTTGACCAGCGTTGACCTAGGGTTTCGAATCGCCTGACATTGACTTTTGGTCGCAACGCGTTGACTGGCGTTAACCTAGGGTTTTGAACGTCGCACGTTGACTTTTGGTCGCAACGTGTTGACTGGCGTTGACCTAGGGTTACGCGTTGACCAGCGTTGACCTTAGGGTTTTGAACGCCGCACGTTGACTTTTGGTCACAACACGTTGACTGGCGTTGACCTAGGGTTACGAACGTCGTACGTTGACTTTTGATTGCAACGCGTTGACTGGTGTTGACCTAGGGTTACGCGTTGACCGGCGTTAACCTTAGGGTTTTGAACATCGCACGTTGACTTTTGGTTGCAACGTGTTGACTGACGTTGACCTAGGGTTACACGTTGACCGGCGTTGAGCTTAGGGTTTTGAACATCGCACGTTAACTTTTTCATCGCAACGCGTTGACTGGCGTTGACCTAGGGTTACGCGTTGACCGATGTTAACCTTAGGGTTTAAATCGCCATACGTTGACTTTTTCATCGCAACGCGTTGACTGGCATTGACCTAGGGTTACGCGTTGACCGGCATTATCCTTAGGGTTTAAATCGCCATACGTTGACTTTTTCATCGCAACGCGTTGACTGCCGTTGATCTAGGGTTACGCGTTGACCGACGTTAACCTTAGGGTTTAAATCGCCATACGTTGACTTTTTCATCGCAACGCGTTGACTGGCGTTGACCTAGGGCTACGCGTTGACCGACGTTAACCTTAGGGTTTAAATCGCCATACGTTGACTTTTCCATCGCAACGCGTTGATTAGCGTTGACCTAGGGTTACGCGTTGACCGACGTTAACCTTAGGGTTTTGGATCGTCCGGTGTTGATTAGTGTTGATTTTTTCAAAATATCCAATAACCGACGAACATGGGTGAAATTCAGGTTTGGAAAGAACATCCGGTGGCTCGAACTGGGCTGAGACACCCGTGGGTGTCTCAACCTTGGCCGAGACACCCTTGGGTGTCTCGGTTCAAAAACCGAGACACTTGTCTCTCCCCCCCTTTTTTTGTTTTCTTTTGTATTATGTACTTTTCCCTCTTTCAAATTTTCAAAAAGAGAGTCCTTTTCCCCCCCTAAACTCTATCTTCTTCCTCCTCTTATCCAAACACCATTGTTCTCCTCCTCTAAGAACTCCAAACTCATTAGAATTCTCCTCTTTAAAACCTTTCCATCTCCTCATAAATTCGGATTTTTTTATGCTCCTCTCTTGGCCAAAAATATCCTCCCCTCAAGGCAAGGTTTTTTTCTTCATCTTCAAGCTCAAAGGAGGCTTCTTGATTTTGGTAAGTTCTCCTTCAAAACTCTCTCCTTTTTTAAGAAAGATTGCAACTTTATGCTTGTAATGGGAGTATGACATGAATTTGTATGCCAAGATCATAGCTTTTTGTTCTCATGAGTTAGGTTTTCTAAAAAAGATAGGATATTGATGATGAATTGTGTGTATGTACAAAGATTTGGGGGGTTTATGCAAAAACAACACTATGGCTGAAATTTGAGGGGCTTTTGTGCAAAAATGGACTAAAATTTGAGGACTTTTGTGCGAAAGTGGACTGAAATTTGGGACTGAAATTTCACACTTATTTGGCCAAACTTTGAGGGGTGTTTTCATGCAAAACAATCAACATTGTTGAGGGGTTTAATTGCAAAAAGCAACCATATATTGTAGGGGGGTTTATTTGCAAAAAGAGCTAAAATTTTATGGCTGAAATTTCCAAGGTTTAGACCACAAATCCATGACCAAGAATTTGAGAGGAGTATGTGCAAACCAAACTGAAATTTGTAAGGGTTTATTTGCAAAATTTGCCAAATTTGATAGAAGAGTTTATTTGCAAAATTTGCCTAGATTGTGAGATATCAGGGATGTTAGATGAACAAACACGATGATAATGATCCAATTCGAGTGTG